TTTTTTGTTTTTTTTTTTTTAAACAAACTGTTCTTGAGACAACTCTTTACAGAATTGTTCTTGTGGGTAGTGAATAAAATTCATGAAAGCTGGAGCATGGGGAGAAACCATCCAACGCTTTCAGGCGCTTGTTGCGCTTTTTGTTAATTGTAATTATACGAAGCCTGTCGTGCATGCTGCTTATCACAAACTTTTAGCATGTATCAGATTTGCGGTGCTAGCTTTCACTGTTTATTTAGTATGGGTTAATTACAGTTTCACTGTATTAAGAATAAAAATGAAGAAAAGTAGCATATTCTATTTTTTTCTTCAGAACTCCATTTTAACTCAATGAAAGAAAATTGATTCCGAAAGACTGTCATGATCTCTTGACCAGAAGGCTGGTTTGTTCTGAGGCAGAAGTTTTTAGTGGTTTGGGGAAAAACTGAGCAGAAGTGAGAGCAAGAGTAGAAGAATTGCTCTTAAACAGCCTGTGGGTATAGGAAGAATTCAAAATTTTTAGCCCTTTCAGGAGTGCTTGCCTTTTTCAACTCCACCTTATTTCTAGTGTAAGAAAAATTAAACCCCTTTGCAAATTTCAAGCAAAATTTTCAGATCAAGTTTTATGTTGTGAACTTGCTGAGCAGGAAATGTAGCTTAAGTGTTAAACTGCTATAAGTGTATAGGGATAATTTGGAGCAGTCTTGATAAGTGATATATTTTGTCTAATGAAACCATATGCCTGAAAAATTATGTTAATGTGGGAAACAGTATGTTTGAGATGCTCATGTCTTGTCTAAGGCTTTTTTTTTTTTTTAAAGAAAAAGAAAAAGTTTTGTGTATGTTTTTAGGTGCCTGTTAATAGGTTGGGAGGAAGCAATTTTTCCTGGTGAAAGAACCTGAGATAAGTGCAGAGGCTTTTTTCAGTCTATATCTTCATAGTTGCTTGTCTGTTGCTGCTGTCTTGCATCTTGCGCAAGAAATGCCAGCAACCCCTTGGCTGCCACCTCCACAGGCATGTGAGCACCCCATGCTGCTCCCACTCTGCAGCTCGTTGCCCCCAGCTTGCTGCTCTTGCAATGGGACTACGGGCAACATCAGCCTTTAGTAACTCATGGAAATGCACACTCGTTTGTGCATTTATAGAGCCATTTTCAACTGCCTCCCAAGGGCCGCTTTGAGTTGTCCATAAACCAGGATTTCAGTGATGAATGCATCATGAATGAAGTTTCTTACCACAGTTAAGAAAGTATATATGCTAATATTTGCACTGAATCACCTTTTGGCATTTTGAATGTTATAAAAGAGCTTTGTACGCAAGTCTTGTGTAAGAAAAGAAAAGATTGGTAATTACCAAAAAGCACAACTAACACATGCAGTAGTGTCAGCTGCTGTGTTTAGCTTTTGTCAGATACTTGCTCACGAAAGTAGTGTCAATTGACTTTGCTTGGGAGGAACACTTGCATTAAAGTGTTTTTCAAAAAGTCCGTGTGCTGTTACACATAAGATTTATATTGAAGAATTGTCTGTAGTCCACCAAATGGATATGCTGTGCCAGAAGAAAGAAGACTTTTAAAAAGGGATTTCCTTTCTTTTTAGTAGCTATTGGTCCAGAATTATTACAGCCTGGTTTTTGGCATCTGAATCATTTGTCATGAGGTCTCTTCTGCCCTCCTTGCTAAACATCATGAGCAGTTTAATGTGTGCTCTGTACTCGTGGCCCTCAGCAGTGGTGAGGAGATGACACATTGTTTATTTGCTGATAGTTTTCACAGAATGGAGCTTCAAGAGGAGAGGCATTTGCATAGTAGAATTGCCAGGCCCTTTAAGTTATCTGGGGCTCTTGCCAATAGTCTTTGTTACAAGAACACTGCCAATTAGTTCTTCCATTTATTTAGCATTTCTGGCATAAGCAGTCCAACAAAAGTTGGCCTTTCGTCGTGCCTGTGCAACATCGGCAGTGTAAAAGCTCACTGCTAAGGGTCTTTTGTGATGTCTGAAGGCAGGATTCTTGTGGATTAGTAAATGGCCGTTACTCTAATAATACTTCTGTGCTGTACTGCAAGTTTTCCTTTGTAAGTCAGCTTGACTTTTAACACTTGTAGGAAGCATTCTCTCACTGAGTCATCACTGCTGCATTTTTTTTGCTGCTGTTTCAACTGACAATTAATAGAATCATTTTTTCGGTTAGTTTTTGTAATGTTCTATGTTATTTTATGCCCATGTCTCTAAGTGAAGCCAAAATCTTGCAGTTTGCCTCCCCTCTTGTTGGCGCCCTTTCTGTATATACTGTGTTACTAGCAGTCTTGGCTCATTTCTCTTGCTTTTGTGCCTTTTATTTTCCACTGATCCACATAACTTTTTGACGTTTTTCTGCCAGCTCCTGAATTCCGTAGCAGACAGTAACACTACATTTGTTTCTTAGGCTTGCAACTGTCAAAGTAACTTTCAGCTCCTTTGCTTGGCAAGAGAGATGCTGAGTCCTTTTTGTAGTTTTTGTGCAGTGTCAAGAATTGGGTCAGGAAAAGTAAAAATGCGGAGCCAACTTAGCTCAGATTTTCTAGCAAATGCATTATGCGAGCCTTTTCTCTAGATGCACAGGAAGGGGGGTGGAAAGGAGCTTTCCAGTGCTCGAATGTACCTAGAAGGTTTTATCCATCAGGCGTACCTACCTGAAATGTGGTCGTCCTTGGGCTGTTGGTGTTGAAAGGGTGCTCATCTCTCTCAATTTTCTGGCCTAGAACTCTTGCAGAATCCCATCTTGCCTACTGCTTTTCGAGATCTTCCCGCTTTCCAGCTTCTTTATTTTGAGTTGTACAGCTCCGAATGGAACGAAGCTCTGAATTCGTGTTTTTAGGAGTTGGGCCGTTCCAGCTCTGGTGATAGAGTACCTGAAAAGAAGGGATATGGGAAATGCTCGCTCAGATAAACTGTGCGTGTGTTCTGGGAAGGGGTTCGAGCAGTCTTGTCAGTGACACAGGAGGTTTTTTTGGAAATTGTCATGTTGTTTTCACAGATGGTATATTGTGTTTTGCATAAATGATAAAATTATAGGTAAGATTACAGAAAAGCTCTGAATATGCTACTAAAAGCCCCTATTCTTGTTTGTGCTTTTAATTAAACATATATTTTATTTATATTGTAAAGGATGGCGTTTAGGGGAGTAAAATAATTAGCAGATATTTCCTGGAATGTTCATGGTACTTTCTCTCTTTACTCTTTCATTAGCTAACCTTTCTTTTTCTAAGTGTAGGACATATATATGGATTTATCGGTGTAAGGTCTATTTATTTTTTTCCCCTTTTTTCCTATTTTTGGCAGGAAGGTCAACTGGAATTGTTGTGGTTCAGACCAATTAACGGTTCATATCAGACTACAGAAAGCCTAGGTGTTTAAAGGCGTTAGAGCAGAGATGCTCAGGACTTCAGGCCCAGGAAGGCACTGCTCCTATCGTGTGTGGACATGATATGCTTCTCACTTGCCCATAAATTCCTTGCCGTTTTCCTGCAGCCTTTCAGGCTTAAGGGAAGTGGCAGTGTACCACTGTGCTGCAGTGAAGTCCCAAGTGATGTAAATGCAGTAGCAGACGCAGCCTCCGCTGCCTGTCGGGCACTGTGCGAAGGGTTGTACCCGTTACCACCGTGGTGAGAGCTGGGCTTGGGCTGCTGTGAGAGGCTCTTTGCTTTGCAAAGCAGTGCAGCACACAGTGTGGGGACAGGGCACTTGTGTCCTGTAGCAGGTCAGAGATGGAGGGAAAAGCTCCCTGTGACTTCCCTTTGCAAGTGACTCTGTTCCAGGAAAAACAGGCAGCCAGTTCCCTAATTCGGGTTTGACTCCCTGGTAGTTTTCATAAAGGAAGGTAGTCTAAGGGCATGCATAAGAACGTGAGTGTGTGAACTATATGATGTTTTCTGTCAATTCCAAGTGGATTTAGTTAGCTTCATGTCAAAGGATGAAGAATTTGAGCATGTTGGAGTGGGGGAAAATCCACAGGGCAAGGACTGATGTAATTGCTGTGAAGGCTAAATGTGAAGGTAACCATGGTGGAATAATAGTGCACATTGAATGTTAGGTAGGATAGACATTATTAAAGAGTAGTAGGTAGTGAAGGGGAGGAAAAAGTGCAATTAAGTTGTAGACATGCTTGGCAAGTGGGTTGAAACTTGTTAACCAGAAATAGTAAATGAGTTTGATTTGTTTGGATTTTTTAATAAATCATACAGTCACCCTTATGTTTATATAAAGAAGAAGAGATTGCATTTGCTAGCAATTAAGTTTGAAAGAATGCAGCTAGTTAATATAGATAGGGGCATATTTTCAAACTTAATTGCTAGCAAATGTTTTTGGTAAAAGCTAGTGAAGATACCACAACCAGCGTGGGTAATTTGCATCGATATGTTCTTTGGCTCATTGCAATTCATTTATCTTCATAAATGAACTCCATTTGCTTTGAAGGAGGAAAAGAGTAGTTGACGAAGCCCAAGGTGTTACAAGGTTTTGTTTTGTTTTTTTCTGGTCTTACTTCAGAAATATTTTGAGATTATGTAAGGTTAAAATTACAATTTCATTGCTAGTAAGTCCTGAAACTTAGGAAAACTGGACTTCCACATATAATTTTCTAATAGCAGACAGCAACAATGATAATAAAGGTAACAGTGTAAGTATCCTCAAAAACTGAGTGAATACTATTTCCCTGGTTTTATGCAACTTCTCATTTGTGCTTCAGTGTTTTAAGTGAGTAAGCAAAAATGCTATTCTTAAATTTAAGAATTTTAATATGGGGCTAAATCAAGGTTTTTTTCTCAGTCTATTTTACAATAATGTAAGAAGATAGAAGGAAAATGAACAGTTTTCAATGTTACAAATGTCTGAAGGACAATTCATTTTCAGAGCTGTGACGTGGGAGAATGTTTACATAAAATATTATGCATATAATGTATAGATTTAATAACTAGAAAAACTTTTTATATCAAAAGTGCCTGCTTTCATAGTGCCTTAAGGTTTTCCTTCCTCTTGCAGAAGATGCTGGGGCAGAAGAGATGAGTATCCCCTTTCCTAAGGCCTAGAACTGCCTGTTGAAGAGCAATCCTGATAAGGCAATATACGAATGGCCCAAGGAAGCCAGCAAATTGATATTCAGGTTTTACATGACCTGCGACAGAAGTTTCCTGAGGTCCCTGAAGGTGTTGTATCCAGATGCATGTTACAGGTCAGTGTTCTGCTTATGACTGTATATGTAAGAGGTAATGCTCATTTTAAATGTTAACTAGTTGTATGTGGATCACCTGGAGATATTTTTTTTCCCTGCTTTCTAAATGAGGCAAATATATTCAGCTAACTTGTTTAGTTTGCTGTGCAAAATAAGCTATTAAATGGGTCTCTCTTTTTCCACATGTGATGAGGGCTGGCCCGAGGAGAAGCAGTGTGCGCATGGAGAGTACCATCTTGCCAGTCAGGGTGCTTGTGCCTTTCAGTTATCTCAGGAGCCAAAGGAGTGGCGGCAGGAGGAGGAATACAAAGCCAGATTGAGGCCAGCAGGGACTCGTGAGGCAGCACTGCATGAGTGAGGCTTTTCATTTTGAGGGTCAGAGCGAGTGCAGAAGCCATTTTGCCCCTGATCTCATTCAGGTTCTGGTTAAGTTGGCCCTTGCCTGCAGCCAGGCTGGCCCCGCTGCTTTCCACTGTGCAACTCCTTTGGGCAGCAGTGGCCTCGCGCACAATGGGGAGGCCACAGGAGTGTCAAGCAGATGCACCAGCTCTGGGTTGGGTCAGTCTGCGTGAGGCAGGGCTGGGTTTTTGGATCTCAGCATTGGACATGCTAGATTGGGCTGATATGATGCACCCATGTACTCCTGCCCTCTGCTCTCCATGGCTTTGGCACCCAGGTGGGCCTACTTTGTTTTATTTTAGCCTTGGAATCCATGCTGCTAAGCTGTCTTACAGATTCCTGCTATCCTCGGAACTAACGACGCATGTGTTTCTAGTGCTAACGTTAGTGCTAAGGCTGTGGTCTGCCATGTCAGCTCATTTCTACCCCAGATGACTCTTTCCTGTTCTGCCATGATCAATATACTCATATGCCCACTCTGTGGCATCATATAGTGAGTAGTTGTATTGGTAGATGAATTAATATGCCTGCCCAAAGCCTGAGGATGTTATACCCAGAGGGGCACTCTGTGTGCTTGGAACTAACAAATGCTGATAGGCTTGCTTAACTCTCTGTAGTTAAATGTGTTTGCTTTGCATTTTCCAGTGATGCCCCACCATTCCTATTGACTGCTTTGTTTTCATTATCCAAGGTACTCCAGCCTTTCCAGTGCTCTGGCTAATAGAGGAGTGCCTAAATAGTCACGTTGGTCATCAGTATACCCAGCTCGATTGGGAAAAAGCTGGGCCATGAGCTTCCAGAAGCTAGACATCCCTAGGCTTTGACTATGACATCTGTGGCTGTGATATGGTTATGATGTCAAGAATGTTGATTGTTTTTGTATATATAGAGACAGACAGACTGTATGTATATTTATATATAAAGACTATATATAAAAAAGACAGTCAACATTCTTCATATATATATATATATATACACACACACACACGCGCACGCGCGTTCTCACAGCTCCAGACAGTGTTGTGCATCTTTGTATCAGTGACAGTGGAAGTGTGGATGTGCCAGTTTACGTTTTGTATTTTCAAGACTGACTCTGCATTCAAGCCAGAGTGAGACCTTGTGAAAACTGTACCCTGAAAAAAACTGTACTGAAAAAAGAGATTTCCTTGATTGTTCCTAATTTGAGAGAGGAAAAATCTCTGCTTAGGATTTGTGAGGTTTCAAGCTCTCGCCAACCCTTTTCTCTCTTCAGTTGAAAGAAACTGAACCAGACCCTATACTGTTTGTATTTGTTCTCACCATTTTAGGCCTCCAGAGCATTAAATATAAAGATGGTGGCGTAATCTGTAACTTCTATTTACAAGAGATATGGAAAGAGATATGGCAGGAAAATCTGGTGGGTTTAGTGTGTGTTTTTGTTTTTATGTCAGCTTTCTTGAAGGGATATTGAAGAAAAATTTTCCTGGGTAGTGTTGCTTATATGCAGTATTAGATTGATTTATGCATTAGGGGGTTACTTATTTAAAAACTTACCAGTTTAAGGTTGAACTTCTAAGACGCAGCAACAAAGTCTTGTCAGATTCATGGTTCTTTGAAATTTCATGAGTTCTGGTTTCTCTGAATCAGTGAGTTTCTAGATTTTCTAGCTGGGCTATCACATTAAGGGTGTGTGTGTGTGTGTGGTTTTTTCTTTTTAATGAAATTTTGAATGGAGGTTGGTGGTAAAATTTGGAAAGCAGAATCTAAGAACACTTCTACATCTGTTTGTAGTACTACAGGAACGGCACCCAACTCCAGAGTTCTGTAACATAGTAGAAAGAATTTCTGATAAAGGTAGTAACTATTCTTTAAGTTAGATTTTTAGTTAACTGTCTTTTCAATACAAGAAATGTCTTGTTTGCCTTGCCTGCAACTCTAAACAGAAAGCATCACATATTAAGGTGAATTTGTTTATAAACTAGGAAATAATAAAATACCTAAAAGAAATGAAATAATTTAAACAGAAGAAAATTTCAAGCTGAGTATAACATTCCAACACAATTCATATTTCAGTCCTTTGTGGCTTTTTTTTTTAAAGAGAAATCTTTCTTTCTTGTTTATAAAGAAAGGCTTATACAGTATTCTGTGCTTATAAAGAAAAACCTCAGGAGGCACAGAGTGTTAAAAAGTCTGGAAGGTGAACAGTCCACCATTGAAAGTACAGAAAATCTAGTATACTGAAAGCAGAAGACCAGCAAAATTTAATAGGATGAATTTTAAATCTGTGTAATTTAGGGAGGGTAATATTTTATTGCTCTCTTGGGCTGTGAATGCCCTGAGTGTTCCTGGAAAGTTTTGCATCCCTCCATTCTTCCCGACAAGCTTCCTGTATTCAACTCTCCCTTTTCCCCTACCCTTGGTTTCGGGGGTCTCACTGCACCTTCCCCATTCCCAGAGCATTGTTGCCCAGTATCTTTTTTTATGGCTGGGGCATTTTATAGCCACCTGTTCCTCAAGTCTAGGTCCTGTCCTTCCTTCCTCATTTCCCTCCAACATTCTTATTCTTTCTTTTTTTTTCTTTCTCTTTCAGGGTGCCAACATTTTAAACTCAATTGAGACATGGGCAGAGCTAAGATGAGGGGTATTGTTATGCTGGAATATGCTCAATTCTGCCATCAACCGGTTCTCTGATCTGTAAAGAGCTAGAAGCGGTTGAAACTCTGCCTCTGCCAACCAGAAGATGCCAGGGCTTCCATGTGCCCCTGTTTCCCCTTTGAGTTCTCCATTTTGCTCATTGATGTCACTGAATTTTGGAATTGATTAGTAGATGCAGTCTTTGGATTATTTATTTATTTATTTATTTATTTTTTAAGAAATGCATTCAAGTTGAATGCGAGGGCCTTGCAAACTTGGCCTGTTCCTTTTTCATTTTGGCCTTTCTGTTAATAATTTTAATTCACTTAAGTTTATGTAGAATTCTGCCTCCTGAGATCTTTCTAGCCTGTTACTCTGTGGCATCCAGCCTCTGTCCATTTTCTGGCTCCCTTTTCTCCTTTGCAACAAGTACAAGGCTATTCTCTTGCTCACCCACCATTCTCTCTCAGCGCAGTACCATTCTTTGCCACTAACTTCCTTGGGTTACTTGGCTCTCTCGTGCCTCTTCCAAGCCAGAGTCAATGCTCATACCAGCATTTGACCCGTTCCCATACCTCAGGATTCCTGCAACAATTCCTACCCCTAATTTGGCTAGTTAGATGGCCTTCCGGAAACCCTGGTTTTTTAAGGGTTTGGGGTTTTTAGTTTGTTCTTACGAATCTAGAGCAGCATCTGTCCTGTATCAACACAGTTTTGGTTCTGTGGGTGGAATTTGCCTTGTTCTCCCACTTCTGTTCTTTTGGTAAACTTTCCAAGACAATCCTGGTGTGTCTGAACAGCTCTGTGGGAGTTCCCATCCTGGTTGGAGGATGAGAGCTGCTGTCTGCTGCTTTAACAAAAATAGCTTCATACAAAGCATGTAGCATGGATTAATTTGTCTTGCTTGTTTATTCTTTAACTAAACTTCTGTTTTTTGTTGTTTTTTGTTTTTTGTTTTTTTTTAACTATATTGCATGTGCATTTTTCTCATTGGTCTTTCTAGTGACTGGTTTTGTGTGTTGGGATGCATTTGTTTATTTTTAGTAGTATCTGGGCCATAACAGGTGGTTTTCTGACTTAAGGTATTAACCTTAAAAAAAAAAAAAAAAGTTGTATAAACATAGCAGAATGTTCTGAAATGCCACCTGTGCAAGTTCATTCTTACGTGAAAAAATAGATTGGGGAAATCTAGATACCTGTTCTGTTTGTCCACAATTTTAATAATACTGTATTAGCAGTTCACTTTTGAAATGGCCTTAAAAGGCGCATGAGCTAGGTATAGTGTTTGGAGTTTACTGTTTTAGGCAATCATATGGCAGATTTTTATAGAGTAACTTTATACAAATGAAAGTGTTCTTTTAAAAGCTTTGAAAATATTGATTTAAAAGGAACATTCAAATGTCCTCTGAGTTCTTCGTTAGTAGTTTCATCTTGTGAAAGAGCAGTCATGCGCTATATGTGCATAAACTACATTTTTATGTCGAGTTTAAACCATGTACTCCTATGCAGCTTTTCTCTTGGTCTTCACGTTTCTTTTCATAAAGTTTACTTTTAATTTACAGCTGGAGGTAATGTATAGCAGGTACTGAAAAAGTTAGGGAAAACATCTGAAATGAACATGTTTCTTTGTTGTTTACCTGTACATTACTGATAAATAACTTACTGTGAAGCCATTCCTTCTGTCGTTTTCCTCATCAAGCCAGAAATTGGTCACTGCTGAAGATTGTTCTGGAAGTGGGGAGGAATAGCAAAGGTGTCCATCCAAGGTGTATCGCACTGTATCGTGTTAGCTTGTCAAGGTGCAAGATCTCCCTGTTACTGCTTCAGCAACAGTGCAGACCTCCGCCCCTGGTGCCAGTGACTGAATCCCAGTTCTCAAAACAGTAAGCTTCACATGCAAGCCCCTTGTGCATGTGTAGCCGCTGTGCTGGCCAACCATCTAAAGCTTTCCATTTGATGCTGCATTATTAACTTCTCCATGTTGACCTAATGAATATCTCACCGTGATGATATTTAATCAGTAACTTCAGATTTTTCTCTTTCTCTTTATAGAATAACAACAATTTGGATGCCTGCTGTGCCGTTCTCTCTCAGGAGAGCACAAAGTATCTCTACGGTGAAGGAGACCTAAGTTTTTCAGATGATTCTGGGATTCCTGGACTACGAAATCATATGACATCTCTTAATTTGGATTTGCAGTCACAGAATGTGTACCACCATGCAAGAGAAGGAAGTAGAATGAATGGAAGTAGGACTCTAGCTCACAGTGTTAGCGATGGACACCTTCAAACCAGTCAGTCCCACAATGAACTATTTAAGCAGGAACCACAGAAGGCAACTGCGCAGGTTCCACAAGGATTTAATGTCTTTGGAATGGCTAATACAGTTAGTGCTTCTAATCCAGGGCAGCATCTTGGACTTCACCTAGGCAGCAAGGGAGTATCTGGCTTGTCTCAACAAACGCCCAGATTCAACCCCATTATGGTAACTTTAGCCCCAAATATTCAGCCTGGCCGCAACACCCCTACATCTTTGCACATACATGGTGTACCTCCTCCTGTTCTTAACAACCCACAGGGAAACTCTATCTATATTAGGCCTTACATCACAGCTCCTAGTGGTACAGCTCGACAGACACAGCAGCAGCCAGGCTGGGCATCTCAGTTTAATCCCATGCACCCTCAGCAAGTCTACCAGCCTTCACAACCAAGCCCCTGGACTACTCTTCCTACATCCAATACTACGCCACATACCTCATCGCAACACTCAACGCAGACAAATCAGCAAGGCCACCAGACTTCTCATGTCTATATGCCTATCAGTTCTCCTACAAATCCACAAGCACCTATGATTCATTCATCTGGTAGCTCGCAATCGTCTGCTCATAGCCAATACAACATTCAGAATATATCCACAGGACCTCGCAAAAACCAAATTGAAATCAAACTTGAACCACCGCAGAGAAACAGTTCTTCTAAGTTGCGCTCAACTGGCCCTCGCACCTCCACTACACCCTCTTCCCTCAACAGCCAGACGTTAAGTAGAAGTCAACCCACTGTTTACATATCGGCCAGTCCTCCCAGTACTGATGAAGTGATCACTCGCGGTCAGCCTAAGGTCTACATTTCAGCAAATGCCACAGCAGGGGACGATCAAATCGTGCGGAACCAGCCCACGCTTTTCATATCGACAAACCCTGGAGTATCTGCCGCTTCTAGGAATATGTCTGGTCAAGTAAGCATGGGTCCTGCATTTATTCATCACCATCCACCCAAAAGTCGAGCAGTGGGCAACAGCACCACTGCAACCTCTCCTCGAGTGGTGGTCACGCAGCCTAACACAAAATATACTTTTAAAATTACAGTTTCTCCAAATAAGCCCCCTGCAGTTTCTCCAGGGGTAGTGTCCCCAACCTTTGAACCTACAAACCTTCTAAACCTTCCCGATCACTATGTTGAACCAGAGGGTATCCAGCATCTTGCTGACCCTGTTTTAGCACATGTGGATAGGATCAGTGATGCACGGAAATTGAGTATGGGATCTGATGATGCTGCCTACACACAAGGTAATACTCTTAATGTCAATAGAGATTTCAAGCAGGTTGTCAATTCAGCGTGTAGATTGCAGAACAGAAAGAAGCAGTTGATCAGCCTTTGGCATGCATGCAAACACAGTATCTTCAACTTTAGCCGCCTTAAGCATTTCTTAAATTAGAATTAAAAAAGTATATACAAGATTTCTTTTTATGGTGAAGACATGTAACTGGATATTTGGAGATAATTCATCTCTTTGTCTAAAACAGGTATGTTATCTGTTAATGAAGTGGAATCATAGCATCTTTGTTTTTATGCTGTTCTGATCTTGTTATTTGTTGTAACAAGTTAAAGTTACAAGTTTGCTGGCAGATTTTTGAATCAGTTGATGCTCTGTTGGATACGGTTCCTTTTTCTTGTGTTACTTAAGAAGCCAGAAAGTGGATTTCAAAAGCAATTAATGGGAGGAAATATTTGCCTATGTTTCCTTATGCATGCTTGACAATAAAATGCTGCAAGTTCTGGTACTTCTGTTACATTATTAAATGCAAGAAGAAACACCACACTAAAGAAAGCTGTTTTAAATGATCAGTGATGTAAAGGGAGGACAAAAGTTAAGAAATACACTACAGCAACCTAGTTCATTAATTTTTATTTCTAATTTAATGATATTGCATGTTTCTGTCACCAGTTTGGAGGTGTAGGCAAAAGAAGAAAAAGAAATGAGGGCTTTCACATAAAGATGTCAAATGAGTCTTTTGATTTAGCAGCTAGTTCAGTATTGAAAGATTGGCTAGTTCCAAGACTGCTGTAAACATTCTCAGTTAGCATAGCCTGTTTTGTGTAGGCAGTGATCAGTACAGTAGAAGCCTGGTCTACATTGTTACTATAGTAATGAGAAAAATGAAAACTGATTACAACTTTTTCTCTACTGCTGGAGGTAATTGTATCTTTGGTGAGGTAAATCTCACCCTAACTAAATGTCTAATATTTAGTTGTCCACATGAAAAGCAGGCAGAGCAAGGGAGATTGGGCCATGGATAAGACAGACAAATTGCCCTCTGGTGGTAGTATTCCCTTTCCTTACTGCAGTGGGAGACTTGGCTGTCTTAGTGCTAGAGGATTTTAGATGTCCAGAAATGAAGCAAGATGTCATCCTTATTCTTTCAAATTATATCATAAACAGGGCCCTCAAGCACCCTCCGTTTTGGGGCAGCCTTGGGAAGCCCATTTCTCCTGTGTAGCCTAGAGTTCAAAAGGGTTGCCTGGTATCTGCTGTGGGGCCCAGTTGCTCCTAAAGCTGTGATACAACCCCAGTTTTCAGATCACGTGCAGATGTATGACATGGGCTGTAGCACTTCTTGTGACGGCCTTTAGGAAGCACCTTCCTCTCATGCCCCTCAGTAGTGGACCACTTGCATGTTCAAAGTTCCGCGGTAGCGTTCGGTTTTCTGCTATGTCGTCTTCAGTTTTGTTGCATGAACCATGATAGTACTTAATTTTTGTTTTACAGTTACTCTTTCAGACGTTGAAAAACAGGTGATTGATTCTGCTGGTATGAGCTAGGTATCTAGAAGTCCTAATTATCTAAACTAAGCTCTTTATAAAAATTAGCTTTTACACACTAAGTGTTTTGATCATTAGGCCTTGTTCCAAACTGCTGGTAATTTTGCCGGACTGTGTGCTCGGCGCTTGTCTCAATTTTAGACAGAACAGCTGAGTAGTTTCTCTGTGATTAGAGAAGAATGCATTTTCATCAACTTTTCCGTTTCTGCCCGGAATGCTCCTTATTTTGGCAGAGAGAATTGCAGCTGGCTTGGGACAGGAGGAATGTGAAAGGTGGAGTTGCTTCCATGTCAAAGGGTGTTTTGTTTGCTTTGTTCTTGTGAAACAAATGTATGTGCTTGATCCAGCCCTGAGGAGCGCAAGAAGGTGCTTTAGGCCTATCTGAAAGTGCTGCTGCCTGCCTGCCACTGGCTGCTCTGGCAAAGCATCGCCTTCTTGGTGCTTCATCCGTAACCTACAGTTAATTCCCTGGCCAGAGTCACAGATGATTCTGTCATGACCCTGAAATATCTAAACCACATTGACTCATAGGAAGGCCAGTTCAGCTCCCAATGAATTTATTTTCCAAATGTCTTGGAATTTTCACGGCTACATACATAAGGAAGGTGTAATTCTTTCTTGTATGCAAGATACAAATCATGAAATAAAGATCTAGAGAGAAATTTCAGAATAAGTTATGAGGAACTTGATTTCAATTATTTATTATCTGTAGAGGTTTTCTGGTCTTTCTTTTCATGATTATATTTCAACTTTTCTCCCATGTCTTCCTCTGTTGCTCTGTTCAGTAACACAGTGCCTAGTAGAAAGTGACCATACATCTTTGTCTTGCTTGCAGCCAAAACTGGAGATTGTATAATGTGGAAAGTAGTAAGGAACTGTTCATATGAAATAGATGCAATTAAGACGTTGATTATTGTCCTGAAATAGTTTCTGTCATTGACTTTGGGATGCTAAGAAAGTCTCTAATGAAGCTCTTATTTGCACAGTCCTCTCCTTATGGAATTCCAGCTTCACATCCTGTAGCATCGCTTTCAGAAAGTCTAATGAAGTCAGTAAGAACTAATAATATTGCTGCGGAAAAAATAATGCTGGAAATGTGCCTGACAGAACAGTTTAAAGCAGCATATATTTTGGTGCTAGTTCATCTAGTATCAGTTCCCTGCTATCAGCGCCCTACTATTTAGCGGAGACTTCCGTAGATAATTAATTTTTATTACTATAAAGTGTCTGATGGATGAACAGCGTAGAGAAATTCTCTTAGAAAGTGACAATTCCATGCGTGGAACTAGATTTCTGTGTTTGATCAACATGCATGCAATTATATGTTGAATATTGAGGCTAGCCACTATTTAATATTTTATTCCCTCTGTGCAATGGAAGAGCTAGGATGTTGTATCAGAAAAATGCATAATAATGTAATTAAATTTCTAACTTAACGTTCCCATACTAGAGAACTTAACTAGAAGTCTCTTAGTTCAGTGCTGTTTAACTTTAGGCAGTCTGGCATACGTTTTTTTTTTTTTTTTTTTTTTTCTCCTCTTTAATTAGAGGCAAGGAAAGGATGCCTAGTGGCAGACTTGGTCATCTCTACAAAGCTTTGGTTTTTGTTTGTTTTTGTTTGTTTTTTTAATGTAGGCATATTAATTGAGGAAACTAGTAATGTGACACTTTTCACAGTTTTCACTTTTGTTTCTTGGCGGTTTTTAAAGTTTCTAAAACGAAAAAAATGCAGGGAAAAAATTTCTTATTCTAACTTATCTGCACAGGATATGGGGGGTTTTTTGTTTGTTTAAGGTTGAGTGAGATAGTATTTTGCCCTATGCTGTAACAGATCTAACTGTTCAGTGTGTAATGTGACTTGAGAAAACATACTGCTTTATTTCGACTCCGCGTGTGAGGCTCTGTTCTGGTCTGCTGCTCCCTTTTAAAAATGACGTAAAAATATTGCAAAGAGATAGCAGAAGTATCAATATAGATTCTTAAAATCAGTTATTAAATGACCAACTGTGCCCTTGAAAATGCAGATTTTGAGAATACATGCATAACAGAAGCCTGTCTCAGTGTTTTGTGTATCTGCTGACACAGATTTCCAGAATGCCCCTTTATTCATCCGTCTCTGGAACAGGATGAAATCATTTGCATCTTTCTTAGAAGACTTGAGATGGCTAAAGGCACTCTCACGCAGTAATTGTTCAGCTTTCCTCAAAGCATCTGCAGATCAGCTTATGCAAACGAGCTATGCAGCTCAGCAAAGCGAACTTCCAGTTTTGCAAGTGTATTCAGTGCGTGTTTGGGAAGGTCTCCAGTAAAGCAGCAATAACCCTGTGTCCTCCAGAGGTTTACCCTCTCTTTACCTGTGTTTTGCAGCCTTTGCTGTGGAAAGTGTGTGCTTTGAATGTGACCGAAACAGTGAATTAACAGAATGGAGCAAACCATTCCTGCCAGGCCGAGCAGGGTGAAAATGCAGAAACTGGACATGCACGCAGTACCCCATTAGCCCATAATGGAAAAGCTGAATGCCAAGGGGATTCAGGTCGGGGTCTGCTGATAGCGACCCCGCATCTGCTAGATGGCTTACAGTAAATAGCTTCTTTCTGAGAAAGTCTGAATAAATAAGTGCAAGTCTTTGCTGTTCTGTTTGCTCTGCATTGGCTAACTCGAAATACAATCTTAGGTGTGTTTGTGCTACCCACCTAGACACAAGCTCATTCCTGCAAGTGAAATGGTGCCATCAAAGCCTGTTAAATGTCTCCTGGTGGACAGTGTTAACTACTGCTGGTAGCTGAATAGCACTTTATTCAGAGATGTGCTTTACTGTGTTTTGTTTCCCAACATAAAACACTTCCTCAGTTGCTCTAATTAACACTAGAGGGAGCTAAACCCTTAAGTTGTTTTCTTCTGTTACTGCAAGAGGAATAAATGGGGGACTTGATCTTTCTTCTCGCTTCTCTCACCACGCCAGCTGCAAAATTGGTAGTTAAGCAAGATTATCAAACGTTATGTAAAAGCTGTCACTTGAACCAATGACTTGTCACTTATCCATGTTATTTTTAAGTTTAGTACAACAGTATGAAATGGCTGTTCTTCTAAGGATAATTTTGTTATGAGAGTGTAAAGTCCACTGTCATTTGAAACTGGAGTGGTAAAATAGAAAGCTGGCAGGAAAGTGAATTGGATTGTGTCTATAGAGTGATGTGGAAGTGAAAAGCACATAGGCATCCATCAATGCCTTTCCGTAATGACAACTCCAAAACTTGGAAAATATTGAAATGAGGAGTTGCATTTGCTTTACCTTTGCAAGAGCTAGAACAAGAAGAGGAGGAGGAGGAGAGAGAGAGAGAGAGAGAGAGAGAATTAAAAAAAAAAAAAAGGGGGTGGGGGGGAGGAGGCAGCAGACTCTTCCAGAGATGCAGCTCCGCCTGCAGTCCTACTCCTGAATGCCTGCCATAAGGTGTCCTGGAGATACCTGACATTGCGTTTCACGAGGTGCCTTTTGCAGCGTGTTCATTGGCAACCTACAGCCTGTGTTAGTAGTTTGAAATGTCTGCACAGGGATCCTGAGTCTACTTTGCACAGCACAGCTATATTGCTGCAGATCAAGGACCCTACCAAAAGCCTAGACTTTGAGGAGTTTGCCTAACAGTAATACCAAGGCAAGGAAAACAGAAAATTCTACCGTGAAGTGGAAATCAAATATAGAAGGAAAAGAGGTTTGTGCCCTCCCAGCCAAAGTTAGGGGTAGAGTAGTCTTGGATTTATTTTATTTATAGTTCTGTGTTCGTTACTCTTGAAGCTCAGGCATGGGCAACAGTTTCTTTCTGCAGTTGTTTCTAAAAGACTGTTTGTGAGGAGACGTCGTGGTTTGCGACTCCTCACCTGATTCTGTATCAGTCTTCAACAGAAATCTGGATCTTGGGGTTTCAGTTGCTGCACTGTTAAAGTGCATCAAAGCACAGCTGCAGCTTCAGCCACAGAGTGGCTAGTGGCTGGTTGGATATGTATGTAAGCATCTCACAGCTGAACGAAAAGGGAGGAATTTGCACTGCTCTGTCATCTCAGTACCTTTTCAGAACAACACGCAACCCCAGTGAAGGTCTAGGCTGAGTGTGGCTATGGCTGTGCCCTACTCTGACACACAGGGCAAATACTTTGGCATGGTGCCTCTCTTTGAAGGAGCTCTCAGAGACAAAATGTGGTGTGTGAATGAATGGACAGGAATAGAAGCAAATGGCACTTCTGCTGCTGAGGATGTGGAAAGTTTCATCTTTTTGTTGTCGTTGTCGTCGTTGTTCTCTGCAATTACAGAGGAAACCTAACCAACCAAAATAGGGCAAGTTTCAAACTCTTTATGCCCAGATGAAACTGTGATGACTTAAGCCTTATACAATCCATTGGCTTTGTTTTTAAGGTGAAATTCTAGGGGTTTTTTTAAATAGCTTGTAGTACTGCTTTTTAATTTTGCAGTTACCCATAGTTTCTGAAACTGATAATGCTTCAAATGAATTTCAGTTATGTAATGAATGATGATATGGAAGTTGAAATGATTGCTGTGTTTATCCAGTGAAATACATTTTTCATTTATATAGTAATTAATTACTGTTTTGAGCAATATATACTCATGTAATGATATTTAACAGTACCTTTAATGGAATAAAGTGTGAGTGTGAATTTCACAGAATTACAGGGTGGTTGTTGAGGTTGGAAGGGACCTCTAGAGATCATCTAGTCCAACCCCTCTGCTCAAGCAGGGACACCTGGAACATGTGGCATGGGGTGACATCCAGGCGGGTTTGGAAGGTCTCCAGAGAAGGAGACTCCACAACCTCTCTGGGCAGCCTGTTCCAGGGCTCTGGCACCCTCCCAGGAAATAAGTTCTTCCTCATATGGAGGTGGAACTTCCTGTGTTTCAGCTTACACACATTACCCCTTGTCCTGTCACCAGCCACTACCAAGAAGAGCCTGGCCCCATCCTCCCTACAATCACCCCTCAGGTACTTGAACATCTTGATCAAGTCTCCTCTCAGCCTTCTCTTCTCCAGACTAAACAGGCCCAGCTCGCTTAGTCTTTCCTTATACAATAGATGCTCCAGTCCCTTAATCATCTTTCTTGCTCTACACTGGACCCTATCTAGAAGGTCTCCATCCCTCTTGTACTGGGGAGCCCAAAACTGCACACAATACTCTAGCTGTGGCCTCACCAGAGCTGAGCAGAGGGGCAGGATCCCCTCCCTCAACCTGCTGGCCACAGGCCTCTTGATGCAGGCCAGGATCCCATTGGCCTTGGCCACGAGGGCACATTGCTGACTCATGGTTAACTTGCTGTCAACCAGGACTCCCAAATCCCTCTCTGCAGAGCTGCTTTCCAGCAGGTCAACCCCTAATCTGTACTGGTGCCTGGGGTTATTCCTCCCCAGGTGCAGGACCCTGCGCTTGTCCTTGTTGAACCTCATGAGGTTCCTCTCTGCCCAACTCTCCATCCTGTCTAGGTCTCACTGAATGGCAGCACAGCCCTCAGGAGTGTCAGCCACTCCTCCCAGTTTGGTATCATCTGCAAACTTGCTGAGGGTGCACTCTGTGCCTTCATCCAGGTCATTGATGAATAAATTGAAGAGCACCAGGCCCAGTGCTGACCCTTGCAGGACACCACAGGCCTCCAACTAGACTCGTAGCCAATTTGTTTACATATTTTGCCCCTTTTTTTTTTTCTTCCCCTATATATAGTTTTAAAAAGTTGCATTTAAAGGCTAACTTCACACAGTTTCTGAGTTAGGTCTCTAGATCATTGTTCTTATGAATATGGTAAGCAGCCTCAGAAGTTAGAAGTTGAGCTACTGTTTCTGCTGTATAGGTCAGAGATAAATTTGCATGTGCACCAATCTCTGTGATAAATGTAACTGATGTTTTACAGCTGTGTTGCTTGTAGTGTTTTGGTTTCACTTGATATATCCTGCTGTGAAAAGAATACTGGATTATGTTTGATTCACAGTAACAATAAAAGGCAAAATCTCTCTTCAGACCTAGCATATGTTGCACTCTGTAGCAGACATGTTTCTTTGAAATCTGCTTCGTACTACGTGTTTTACAACAGTCGAGCTGAATACAACACAAGAAAATGTTTGGTTTCAGTTTCTAGTAGTATTTCTGGTAAGAGCCACTGCATTCTTGAAAAAGTAGATTTTAAGGTTTTGTTTGTTGTACAAATTAGAGCTCTATTTTGGGTGATTATCAGTTATGTTGGATGACTCATTGTATTCGCTTGTTGTCTTATTTTAATTCAGCATGTATTTAAATTCCGTTTTTCTTATGGCAAAGATTTTTCTGGAAAAAGAATGGGAAAACAATCCATAGAAACTTTGATCTATATTTTCCTGAAAGAGTAGTTACTTTCTTCTTTATCTGCTGTTGCCATGTGAAGGATAATAAGTTAGATAAAATGGGACTTTATGTATTGCAGCTTTACTGGTACACCAGAAAGCCAGGATGGAGCGACTTCAACGGGAACTTGAGATTCAAAAGAAAAAGTTGGATAAACTAAAATCAGAGGTTAATGAAATGGAGAATAATCTAACACGAAGGCGCCTGAAAAGATCGAATTCTGTTTCCCAAATTCCATCAGTAAGTTGAAACGTCTGTAGTATATAAACTTAAACCACAAGCATGGTCTGTGAAAAATAATAATTTAGATTTAATAATTGTATTTAGTTATAGGTGCTATAGTTAGAATTAGAGCACTGTAGTTTAGAATTTAAATATACTTCATTTAGCCACAACCTCTCAGTTCACCAATTGCTTTGTGCAGCTTTGCTTTCAAGGGTAGCCACGAAAAGTTTGCCTTTGGTGGTCCTTCCTGATGCACTTAAAGGCCTGATCATCTAAAGTTTCAGATCACAGTTCAGTATTCATACTGCTTTCTCCACAAAATGTATTTTTTTTGTTTTTTGTCGCTATACCGGTCTCACAGAAACAAGTCAACGCAGCAGCTGCCAGAGCCAGGGGGTCAGCCTGTGATGTGGGCAGAGCGCTGACCGTGGTTGACCTGTTCAGCCAGCGCTGAAGTCTGATAAGTGGGAAGTTCAGCGAGCCTGAAAGCTCTGCTGTTGTAAGGGGAGATTCTGCTACCGCCAATGCAACGGAATGTGAATGATAACTAATGATAAAATGGGAAAACTTAACCTAACAGACAGATCTATTTTTTCAGCTGGAAGAAATGCAACAGCTACGAAGTTGTAACAGACAGCTGCAGATAGACATAGATTGCCTAACCAAAGAGATTGATCTTTTTCAAGCAAGAGGTACAGTATGTTCCTAGTCCATCCGCAACTGTTAACATTGTTTTTACTTTCTCCTTTCACTGGCTGCATGTATCCAAAGTAGCTGTGTTATAAATGATAGGTATACACGCTCTTTGCAGGATTATCACATTAGTTTGAATGAAACTATGAAAGTAATTGTATTCTAAGTCTTTGGTTTTGTTGATTTTACTTTCCTAATCCCACTCTCATTCCTGTCTCATTCTTAGCTCAGAAACAAGAAACTTGTCCTGCTGTTTATTTAATGGAAAAAAATATATTTGGTTATCTGAATATCAAAGAATTAGTTCTCTAAATGATATAGATGCGTTCCTCTTTCTTTTTGTGTCTTGTGTTCAGCACCTCTAGTAAGCAAATATAAAGTGCAACTGTAGCCCCCAGTGTGCCCCCCTCCTCCTGCCTTCCCCATCTGCCAGGGCACAGCCTTTGGTCATGAGGAGACAGCAGGCCCAGGCCACGAGCTGCCCAAAGGGAGCTCCTGCTCCTGCTGCTCCCTCTGCTCCCTGCTCTTGGCCCAGATTGGCTTTTAGACACCTGGCTCCCCAGCCCAAGAGAAGCTGGGCCGCTGGCTAAGCCTGCTGAGCTGGGCTGTGAGGGGCACGGGAAGGACTGACGGGGTCCTGCAAGAGCAGGGCCAGGGCCCTCTGCTTCGGGCAGCAGCAGCAGGGAGATCAGCTCCGTCTCGGGCTGTGCAAGGTCTCCTGCAGGCAGTGCCTGCACGGAAGGAGGGAGGGAACGGCTGTGCTCAGAGTAATGCTGCACTCAAAGCCTCTCCGTAAATGCAGTAGGCAAGTTGCATATACTACTGTTTTATATCTGTGCTCTAGCTGTGTTTTGCAAGTTGGGAGTCCTGCTAAGTATGTTAAGTACTGCTTAGCAGAGAGCACACCTCTCAGTACAGTTACCATTTAAAAAAAAAAAGGACTTGAGTAAAATATATTAATAAGATGCCTTAAAACAACAGTCGAAAAGAGGTTTTTGAGGAGTTTGGTCTGCTAAGAATGAGAGAGTCAGGGCTCCTGGTTTTTGTTGTTATATTGTGTAGTTTAGGGAATAATTTATTTAGGTGCATTGCTGACAACACCAATACCTCACTGCTTTTAACAGTCAATGTCTGCATTTGCATTGATGTCAATAAACAAATAGTAGTACTGTCTCTTACAACTGCTGCCAAAATGATATGCTTTTGTACCAAGTTTCTTTTAAACATCGTGCTTTTTTCTTTTTTCCTTCATTTTTTAGGACCACATTTTAATCCCAGTGCTATTCATAATTTTTATGATAATATTGGATTTCTTGGTCCGGTGCCACCAAAACCCAAAGGTACTGTACCTGCTAAATTTGGTTTTGTGCTAAAGTCTGGCTTGCATCTAACATCATGTTCTTTTCTGTGAATCTAGTTTAACTGTTAATCATGAAATAGATTACGTTTTTCAAAAGCTTACAAACCTTGCTCAGATATTTGCATTGTAAGTAAGTATACTTCTATGTGCTTTGTTTCCTGTGTGCACCTTCAAGAAAAAGTAGTTTATTAAATTGAGCATGTTTAAAGACAGCTATTATATTGGGAGGTAGTTTAAGTAAGTGGAAAGATCCATTTTTAAAACAAACAAGATTTATTGCTTAGGGATGAGTGAAATTGCTGAGATGACTTCATCATTGTCCTTGGTGAAGGGTGGATTTATTTATGTTAGAATATCTCAGTTTGGTTACCAAGACTGGGAGGATTTCCTGGCTGCTGTAAAATATGTATTAATAATTTTAAATTAAAATCCTTCCTACCAGTTTTAAATACAGCTCTAGGATGTTGTAGAGGAGAGGGATGCTGGCCATATTATACTCCCAAATTTATTAGTCAATTTTGTACATTATTTCTCTTAAGTTTTGCACTTTTTTTGTCCTAATGTCCTAGTTTTGTCCAACAAAATAGAATAATTATCTCCTGTGTGTTACATAAAGTAGAGAAAGAAGTTTCACTTGTTTGCAACAGCATATTGTGACCCATAAGCAGACTATCAAATGAAATAATTCCCAGATGTTGCTGTGCAGTATTTTTGTCCAGGAGATTTCCCACGTAATGTGTGTGTGTGTGTGTGTGTGCGTCTGTTTGACCCGTGTAGTTCCAGTGTAAGCCCTTGCAGAATCTCGTCTTACAGGCTTTTGACCATTCTGTATTTCAAAATGGCCTGGATAAGTTGGTATTTTTGTCCTCCACACAATTTGTAACTCCTCCAAACTGATGTTGTTGTGCATACTTTTTAAGTTTACTGTGCTGCTTTATTCAAGCTGTTAGTGAAATTACTGACTAAAATCAAATCCATGTGCAGTCCTATTAAACTTGTTTTTTCACAATTGAACCATGAGAAATCACTATGAAAAGAATTTATGAAATGTTCTGTAAGTTATATAGTAAATCATTCTAGATACTATTGCTACTTTCTTATGAAAGAGGAAAACAAGTTTTAATTTTTTTGTAGTAAATCAGTCTCATCAAAGAGGAAAACAAGTTTTAATTTTTTTGTGACTAGTTGATGATATTCACATTTACTTATCTTTTGGGAACTCACAAATTTATGTTCAAGAATTTGATAAGACCCATTTTGAAAATTCAAAGTTAACTCTGACTGGTTTTTATCTGTCAGTAAATTTAAAAATAATTACCAGAGAGAACGCTAAATAATTCTTTCTGCAATTGCAAACACAAAGATGTATACTTGGGAAGCATACGAGCGAGCGTGACAGAGGAAGGCACTGGTTTCTCCTTAGTGTGCCTGCCTGCTTATTTGACTTCAAGAAGATCTTCAGGAAGAGTCTGTCGAGGGTCAAAACGTTAAATATGTCCAAAGTTCACAGAACACGTATTTCGCGTGATTAATTTTGGACTGCTCCCTACTGTCCTTTTAAACTTTGTGCATTTTCATTTCCTGTATGAATTTCTCCATTTGATTTCATTTGCACATAACAGCTTCAAGCTGAGGCCAAAAAGCAGGCGGGGTGAAGGGATGGGAAACTTGCTTTTTGCCATTTGACCTTTTGGCACTTGGCTGAATTATCAGGCTGTAGTGAAGGAGTGGTAAAAAGCCACCTCTGTCACTTAGATCAACTGTGCAGTTCTCAAGGAGCAGGACAGATCTCAGCTATGGAGAAAATCGTCTCAAAATTCTTTCCATGTCGTTCCTGTTTAGTGACTGCTTATCTTATCTCTTTCGTGCTGCAGATCAGAGGTCCATTGTGAAAACGCCAAAGACTGTTCCAGACACAGATGAAGACGAGGGAGCTCAGTGGAGTTGTACTGCCTGTACTTTTTTAAATCATCCGGCCTTAAATCGCTGTGAACAGTGTGAAATGCCCAGGCATTTCTGAGCCAACAGGCCTGTTATCTCCTGAAAAACGATAGCAAACCTACAAGGAACTATCCAGTCATTGAGGGGCAAAAAAGCATTTACGCGTAGGGTTTTTATAAAATTGAAGGTGTGCCAAGATGGTATTTTGCTAATGTTAAATGTAAGCCCACAGAGCTAGTGATACCTCAGTGTTGTGTCGCAGGCAGTTGCAATTCGTCGGCCAAGAGCCTCGGTCGGAGCTGCCTGAACCATGTCCAGTGTTACGAGTACCCCAGTAAAGCACAGCGTGCCCCGTGCTCGGCTGGCGCCCATCCTCTTCTGTGCCCGATGTCACTACTGAATTTGGCAGGGGAAAGGAATAGAAGCTAGAGTTTTTGTTTTCAGAGCTTTTGGTGAAACACTACATGCACAGAGGAAATCTAAAAGGAACAAGGTTTAACTGTTTAACTGTTTGCTGCCACATGGTGCCTTTGATAAGGGGAAGAACTTCACAAATCAGTGGTACTCTTTGCCTTGTCTTCCCTGAAAACATCTCTGTGAAGCCAGAATCAGTACAATCACTTCTAAAGATGAAAAGGAAAAACTGCATGCGTTGTCTGTACAATACACACAGTGAAATACCCCAGAGCTTTTCCTACTGTACATAGCTCTAGAGCCTGCTTTAAGTGATTTCTTTTCTTCACCTTTATTATTTTCTTGTACTTCTGTATGTATAGTGTAATAGTCTTTTTGTTAACTTTCTTTTTTTTTCCCTTTAAGTGATTAAGCACGATCATGTCCCTTTTTTAAGCTTTTTATCCGAGAGAAGCAATGCCTTAAAGTAAGAGCATTAATAAGAAACTATGCACAAAATAGCTTTCCTCTGCTCATTCTGTACATTGCTCTTGTAAATGCTGATGATCTGTGAAGACCTGCAGATGCAGCGTGGTAACAATGCAGGAAAAGTTGGAAGAGTTATGCATATAGTTCACTCTGTACACTGAGTTTTACGGTGGGTGACACAAAGTAGTATTTTGTCTGGCATGTGGAAACTTTAAAGTAAGAAACTTTCAACCCACCAACAGATCCGCGTCCCGTTTAAGCTTGCTTCATCTGCTGGGTATCTGCAGACTCTTGAAGAGAGATCCATTGGGGAAGTACATACAGTGCCAAAATCAACAGCAGCAGCAGCACACAGCTTTGTTCAAGAACTTTACATGCTTTCCTGTTTTGGCAGCCAGTGTCTAAACCTGACTTTGTGGTGAAGTCTCATATTTATAGAAAACAAGGATAGCAATATTTAGGACAACTGAAATAAAGGCTGGAAAAGAGAAATCAGACTTGAACACTGAAGCAACCTCAAGCATCTCTTTGTTTTGATGATCTATTTTTTTTAAGGAAAACGTTCACATGATCAGGAATGTATGTAACAGATCAAGAGAATGGAATTGCAGTGCAGTGTGCATGACACAGCACACAGAATTATGTAGCAGCACTTAGAGCGAGGCTGGAGGGAGTGCTCACGATGTAGCGAGAGGCAAAGCAGACTGTCACCCACTGTAAACGTTTGCCAGTGGACACTTTTAGGAATTTTACAAGTGATCTATGTGAATGCACAAAGGCCTTTGTTTTGAAGGCTTTGCATTTTTTTTATTGTGGGAAGAAAACGCCAAGCCCAGGTAGTTAGGCAGTAGACCCAAAGCACTTGCATTCAATGCATTTTGTGTATTAAATGAGGCCTTGTTTTTCAGCTTCATCTGCAGTTCTATGTGAAGATTGACAAATCAGTTTTTACCTGTTTTATTAATAAAACCTAATTTGGATATCTTGAGTTGATGGTTTTGTGATTTAGCTGGGTAAACTGTCTTTGTAACAGATAAGTTATTTATAAAAATTAAAAAAAAATTATATTCTATTGTTTGTTTTTGTGATTTGTTTGCCTTTTCCATGCTGTGAAGCAGTGGAGTATTCAACTGAACAACAAGAATTAAGAACATTAGAAATAAGCTGACTTCTTAAGAATGCAGGTTTTCGTTAAGCCTTTGTTTTATTGAGGCTTGTATCTTGCCTCCCGTGCCTTGTTCTGTTAATGCTAACCTTGTGTGTATATAAGGGATGTATTATGTGGAATTGCACCCTCCAAATTATGTACAGCTCTGTGTACCAAAGTGCCATTCATTTCTTCATAAATTAATAAGCGAGACAAAGCTCCTTCTTACCCCATGCTTTAAGTGCTTACCATTTAAAAATATCTTCCTATTTCAAAATAGCAACCACTTGGTTCACAGTGATAGCAGTGCACAAAGTGTTTCACTTACCTTAAGCGCGGATCAGGATTGGAATGGTTGGGCTAATGGGCTGATGCTGTCTTTGTGTTACACCCATTGCAAAGCTCTCAGGTACCAGGTTTTCCTGGATGTGTCTTTCCCACGTGGACCCTGCCAGGACAGATCCCTGGTGCATGGAGCTTCCCGGAGCTGCCCCATGAGCTGCGCCGGCGCTGTGAGCGCTGCGGAGACGCCCCTGAGCAGCCCTGACTGCAGAGCCGCAGAGCAGAGCTCCCTGCACGGACCGAGCAGCCGAAGCGTCTGCAGCCACACCATGAGAAACAGCTTCTGGAGTGAGAAGGAAATAATGTTCTTCACGTGTCTTTAAAAAATTGTACCAGAAATGGGTAGGAAAAACGTGTTTCTGGAAGTGTGTACATTCTGTCTTATTCAAGTGTTTAATAATCTCTTCCCTGATCTATTTGTTCATTTTCTGAAAAAAAAAAAAGCATATTTCCCATTCTAACTGCAGTTACCAGTTTACCTTGAAACGGGATAAAGGAGGAACGACATCTCTGCTACCTTTTATTCCGTAGATTTTTACCTTTGCCACTAGGGATTTTATGTTCTCTCTGTATTACAGGTTATGTGTAACATTATTAGCTCTTGCTTCAAATTTACGTCAACTTATTGCTTATCTGTTTAGTGCGTCTTTCCTAGTTAGGATTTTAAGAATTTAAATTCTAAACGATGAAACAGACCTAGATTGTACTGCTGAATTTCTTGTTCATCTTAAGGGATGGAACACTTAATGCATTAGGATTAGGCAGTGCATCGTGCGTATATCTTAGATACTGACTTATCCCTGACAGATACATTATAGAAATGTAAAGTGATCTCTCGGTGTAAAAACAGATTATGTCAGTCGAGGTGGAGGGAGAAGTGGAGTTCTAGGCTTTAAGAGATAGCCCTGGTTTTTCTTTGTTTTCTCATTTGTTTTTGATATATGTCAAATATTCTTCATTCAGTGCAGTTTCAGGGTTGGAATGGCTTTAAGCGATGGCAGCAAAGCAGACAAAGATGTGACAAGTTGCAGATTCGGGTCAATTCTGTGGCAAAACAGGGAAGTGACTCCGGATCATGGGCCAGCTTTTTACCCAAGTCAGAAAGCTCTTTTCTGCTGCTATTTCCAGTCCTTAGAGCTACTCCATAGCCCAAGAATGTGGTTGTATGTGGTGCTGGAGGCTTAAAATAATTCTGTGGTTTGGTGTCTTCTGTCTCAAGCTAATGCTACACTGTGCTTAAAACTGTGAAATGGTATGTGCCTTTCTGTGTGATCTAGGAATCGGTTTTGTGATCTTGAAATGTTCCCTTCCTCCGTGTACCACAGATGTCCATAGAGAGGCCCTGGCCGTGTCGAGGAGGGTACGCTGACAAATGCTGCATTTCTGTCCTATTCCCCTGCCTTTAACGTATGTTAGAGACTAGAAACAAATTAAAGGAAGAGTTGATTGAAGTTGTTAAAGTTGATAAAAGTTTTGTCAGTTTTGAGTGTACTTACTAAATTAAATACCAAATTAAGTTAGAGATATAGTAATATAAATTGGAGAATGCTTGGATAAGCCTACTTTTGTTTTCTAAGGATGTGCGTTGTATTGTGCTTTTAAATTCTGTGACTAATAGAAGAAACGAAAAGGAAGAATGACCAGTTGGACGCTGAGGCTTCCCCAGTGCCAAGGGTAAGTTTGGGTTTCTGCTCATGGACCTTGGAGCTGCCCCAACAAGGGGCCCCGGGATTCGCTGTTCTACAGATCCCCAGCCCTGGCCATTGGCTGGATGCTCAGAGGCATCAACAGTTTTGTTCTGAAAAACAAAACTTTACCTTTTTTCCATAGCGACTATAGTACATTCTGGTTCTCACTGCTTCTTGAAGTAGCAGTGGAGCTTGGTGATGGAGAAACAACTTACTAAGAGTTTGATTTATAATCGGCCCCAGAATAGCTGTGTGACCTAGCTGTGTCCCGTGACACGTTTGCATGTGATGCAGCGCTCGGTGACCTCCCTCCCTGAGGTCCCAGCCGCGGTCAAAGCGAGCACAGGGTTTGTGAGATGCAAAAGTGCCCTGCGGTGTCTGACATCTCCCGATTTACCATTTCATGCTCTTTGACGCACTTCTGTCTTCTCCTTGACCACTACCCGTATCCTGCTGTCAGGGCTATCCTGACTTTCTCAAATACTTGCATTAGGTCTGTGAGTTGTAGCACTGCCACAGCCTGTGGTAGGCTGCTGTGTGGTCATTTTAACTTACTTAAACCTCACACGAAATTCATCTCACGAGTCTCTAACACGGAATGCACCAGTGAGGCTTTGGAGCAGGGGTGGCACCATCCCAGCCAGGTGTGTTCTCATTCTCAGTTTGCAGGGTTTCCTCTGTGGAACTCTGGACTCTGCATTTTGGGATCAGGAGTTGGAGAGAGGTGGGTCTCAGCACTGCCTGTAGTTTGGTGACAGCTGATGTAGAAGGGCATTTAATTGGGAAGCTAAAAGGAAGATGTTACCGAGTATTGATAAGATTTTTTTTCCTGAATTCTGGTTGTATGACCTTTGGATAAAGTGCCTCAGAAAAGTGATACAGCTCATTTTACAGCACTAGATTCTGCTCTTACTGCCGTAACTTAGTTCCTTATTTTTTTTTCCCTTAGAGTAAATCACTCAACTGCCAGTTCTTGAGAGAGCAACGAGGAAAAGGCCAGTAAGGAAGCTGGGGATGAAGGTCTGAGGTAGGTGCCATAAATCTCATTGCTGAGCAGCTTGCTTTCTCTCTCACTGCTCATGTGTTAGTAAGGACTTTGTTCCTCTGACCAGCCATCGCCCATGCTTAAAAAAGCTTTTTTCTTTTTTTTGGTTACTCTTCATGCTCATACCCTGCTCCCAGCCCAGGGTTGCCATGACTGATGTGGCTTTGGACTGGGGGAATCTCTGTCATAACTCCAGCTGTGTCCAAATCTGCTTAGAAAGTGGAGCTGTATCCTTTAGGATCTAATAACCTGGAAACTGAGTAGCATCTCAGTCCCACTTTTTAAGGAATTGGTTATATTTGAGACATGTTTGTTTCAAATTCCTCTAGCAGTTTTGCTTTTACCAAGACAATCTCTTGAAAACAATTTTACTAAAAATACCAAAGAACTTTCCTGTTTATTAGTTGTGTGCAGGAAGTGGGGGAGGTGTTTTGTTTTTATAGATTCAAATCTAGAAAACGCAAGTTTTGAAATACTATTTCCAATGGTTATGACATAATTCTCTCTTCAGATGGGACAGAAAGTGAATTCTTTAGCGCATAGGTAAAAAGGCTGCATTTCAAACTGTGCAGCCAGAGAGCTGGCAGCAAAGGTGTAGCATTTAGCACAGGCCGGAGGAAGGCAGGGCGGTGGAACCGGCGGGCTCGCGGCAGCGCCCGGGGGAGCCTCGGCAAGGCCTGTGCTCGGGCTCCCGCGCTGCCGACGCACGGGCAGGGTGGCGGGGCCGGCTGGAGTCGCCGTGGCTGGCGAGGCGCTGGGGAACCAGCTGCGGGCCGGGCTCGGGTGTCTGTGAGCTCCAGCGGCATGCGGCCTCTGCTCCGGACATGTGAGAAGTTTGCTGGCCTTTGCTGGAGGATCAGAGGGCTCTACTTTCGTTTTTACGGAGTTGCGGGTGCACAATCAGGTTACGTGGCCTTAGGAAGTGGTTCCTCGGTTCAGCCTCCCAAGGGCAAAGAAAGAATGTGTATCTGCTAATTATTAAGGTGACTGGTTTGAATTGCTTTGGCATAAGCTTTTTTTTTTTTTTTTTTCATGCTACATAGCGATTGTATGCCTGGAATACTTGTTGAATTTCTTCTTAACTCTTGATTGACATGTATGTGAGATAATAAACTTGATTAGCTAAGATCCTCGTGTTTGGATTGAGAAATATTGTCCAAAGTACACCTGGAAAAAGCGTAGAGATAAACTTAGTAAGGTAACGCTCTCTGAACAGTAAGAGTTTTTCTAATGAATTTCTATCTTGGAGTTGGCTGTAATCCTTATCCAACTGGCAAATCTAGTTTCAAGTTTCAGCTTTAAAATATAATTGGCAGCTCAGCGAATTCATAAAATTGATCCCCTTTCACACTTATTTTTGGCTTGTGTTAAGAATGTGCCAACCTGGAATTCTAAACTTAACCCCGAGTGACTTTTCCTATCACTCCCTAAAAGGAAAGCCTGGCAGCAGAGCCAGGCCTCCAGCCAAGATAAATCCCGAGCAATAGATGTCAGCACAGGGGTAACTTGCACTACAGGTAAGGTGAAAAGGGGAAGATCAAGCCCACAGTGGGTCCTGCGAAGCACTTGCTTGCTGAAGCCCTTTGGTGACGTGATCTCGCGTTTGGCTCTGCCTCCCTGCTTTGCAGTCTGGGGCTGTGCTGCCGATTCTAAGGCAGTCCGAGCTGCCGTATGCATTTTTACAGCCATTTAAACGTAAAACATATGTTAAAATGAACGATGCGTAAGTGTACTGTATTTCTGCTGCAGGTCCTGAGATGCAGGAGTCTGTTCAGCTGTTGTGATCCAACCTCAGCTGCATCCAGGTGAAGCTCCTTCAGCTCCCGGCCGCCCTGGGCGAGGACGTCGCGGTGGCTGTGAGGCTGAGTCTCTGTGTGCAGGGTGGGAGCCTTGGAGCTCAGCTCCGCAGCCTCCCTGCGGCGCTGCCGGGCCGGCCCACCGCAGGGGCAGGCTGCAGCGCCTGGTGTGTGGGGCTGGGGCGGGCTCCAGCCATCGTTCTGCGGGGGGGAGGCGCTCGTCCGTCACTCGGGAGCAAATCTGTGGGTATTTGACCTGAATAATGATGCCTCTTTGGAGCTAGCGTTTTTCTTACTCATAAAGCGCAGTCTGCTGCTTGGACTTGTCTGAATGGGACTAGCTTGTTGAAACCATTAGCCCTTGAGAATCAAATCCACTGTTTCTAGTGCTACCACATTGACATCTTGTGGTGGACTTAACCATCGTGTTAAAAAATATCCTGTAACCCAATTGGTATACATGTTGTGGATGTTGATTACCAGGTGTTTCCAAAACGCATCCTATCTGTAGTTCTTTCTTCAGACACTCTGTTTAAGCTCTGAACAGATGAAAACCATTGGAACATCAAGGAACAAAGTGAGGATACTGACATAAAACAATGTTCTCCAAATACTATGCCCAGTTGTATACACAGTATCATAAAAATGGAACAGAAATTATCACTGAAAAGTGTGGTTTTTTTCCTATTTTTCTGCTCATCTGGAGCAATCATTCTCTGCCTGTTTTTCTGTAATACTGTTATTCTGACGTTAGTTTAACTTTTACATTTCTTTCCTCTTCTGCAAGGCTTAAATGTGTTCTGTGTAACTTAAGATGCTCTAAACATTTAAAGATCTTCCATCTTCCATCTGCTTTTTTAAATGAACCCAAAGCTCCAAATCTACCATATGTCCTATGTTACAGAATTAGTCATTATGAGCAAAAGGATATTCAGATGCTGAAGTTCTTATCCGAGAATGTTTCCCTGCTGGAAATAACATTTTTACAAGCTTCTGTATTCCCTTTAGCTTCTTCCTACCAGGACCTCCTGTGGGGAGAACTTAGTATTTCTCATTCCGATGATAGTTTTGAGTAACGTTTATAATCGTCTGCCAATGACTGTGTGTTTTTTGGCAATAACAAATCATACTCAAGTGTGCTTCCCTCTTGCAGTTTCTTCAGCCCTGGTTTTGGGGCAGTGGTTGGATGGACCTTAGCTTTTGCCAGGCTATTGTGGGATTTACAGATTCCCTGAAGCTGCAGAATTTGCTGTTATTTAGGGAGTACGTTTTACCATTTGAAATGGTAAAAACCTTTGCTGCCTTCTGCACTTCTTCTGGCTTACTTAGTAAGTGTTAGTTAGTCTTTAGTCTTATTGTACGGTTCTTATCTATCTACAGCTCTTTCGCTGAGCCGTATAAGGCTTACATTTTCCCCATGGTAAAACTATATTTTATCTAGAAAAGAACTTGCCAGATGGTATCGTCTGTTTTTCCCACCGAACGCTGCAGTGCAGTCTCACAGCTAGACGTTGTTCTAGTTGACACAACTGTCTGTGGAGCAGCTTCCTCAGTTGCTCGAGGCCTCTGCGGTGCCGACTGGTTAAACCCAGCAAGGTGACGGTGGCAGGAGCCCGTCAGGAGGGACCGCGCAGACGGGCAGGATGGCGCAGGGCGAAGCCCCTGGAGGGCTCCGGTCCCTGGAGTTCAGCAGCCCCCGAGGCGGCTGCGCTGTGGGGGGGCCGCCCCAGCC